GCAGTACTTGGGGGGTCAGTGTGATCCCATCTACTTCCCCCAACCCACACCTTTCTGCCATACCACTCCCTCCTTCCCCAAACCCTGCCCATTTCCTCAAGCTCTGCCCCTTTCTCCCCAATCTTTCTCCCTTCCCAAGCCCCGCCCCTTTCCCAGGACACACCCCTTTCTCCCCTGGATGGTGCAAGATCCGCCCCCAAACCAAGCCCCACCCCCAGTCCATTGGCTGTCCATTGGCTGCACCTGGATTGACTACGCCCCCAGCAGACCAATCACCGCCCACACAGAATAAGCCTCGCCCCTTTCCAGGCACTGCCGTGCATTAATTGGCTGCTGGTGACATCACTGCCCTTGCCACACCCCTGCCCCAGCCACGCCCCACTCACCGTCTCTCCAGTGGCTCCTCCTCCAGGGGCTCCAGGGACAGTTCTGGGGATGGGGAGTGACCAAAAGTGACCCCTCAGGCTGCCCCATAGCAACCCCCAAACTACACCATAGCAACCCCACAACTGCCCCATAGTGACCCAACTGTCCCACAGCAACCCAAACTACACACAGTGACCCCCAATTGCCCCATAGCGTCCCCCAAACTGTCCCATAGTGACCACAAACTGCCCCACAGAAACTGAAAATTCCCCCGTAATGACCCCCAAACTGCCTGCAGCGACTGCCAAGTACCCCACAGTGACCCCAAACTGCCCCACAGCGATGCCCCAGTGCCCCAGAGCCACCCCCAATTCACCTGAGGAGAGCAGGGGGGGCAGACTTGGCTCCAGGGCCTCCCGAAGCACCTGGAAAAGGACAGGGATATGGGGCAGGGGGTCTATGGGGCGGGATTGGGGTCTATGGGACAGGTCTATGGGGTGGGATTGGAGTCTATGGGACAGATCTATGGGGCAGGATTGGGATCTATGGGGCCTCACCTCCATGTCGCTGGGCAGCTCCGGGGGTGGGGCCACGGGCACGGCAGGACGCTGGGCACAGCGGCTCCACAGCTCCCACAGCTCGGGGGGCAGCCAATCTATGGGGCAGAGCAAGGGGTCACTCACTACGGGGCAGGAACACCCACTGTGGGGCAGGAATCCCCTGCTCTGGGGTGGCTGTGGGGGTCTCACCGTGAGTCGGGGCATTCAGGAGCTCACTTGGAGGGCGGCGGAACCTGTGGGGTGGCTCCAGCAGCACCTGTGGGGCAGAAACAGGATCTGTGTATTAAAGTGTGGGGCAGAGGGGTCTACGGGGCAGATCTATGGGACAGGGAGGGATCTATAAGAGGATGTATGAGGTGGGGGAACTATGGGCCAACCTATGGGGCAGGGGGATCTACGGGGCAGATCTATGGGTCAGAACCCCCCACTCACCGGGGGCTGACAGTGGGCATAGGGCTGGAGCAGCTGCGCCCGGAAGAGCTTGGTGGGGATGTGGGGCAGGGGGTCCACAATGGGTGGAGGGCGACGACGGGGGACGCGGCGACGCACCGGGACCTCCGGAACGGGAGGGGGCAGGGCGGGCTCCTCCGGGGGGCGAAGACCTGCCCCAGAAGTGCTCACAGCCCCATAAGTACCCCACTAGCCCCACAAGTGCCCCCCAATGACCCAAAAGTGCTCCTGCAGACCCATAAGTGCTCCCACTCCACAAATACACTCCCCGTCCCACAAGTGCCTCCCCAGCCCCCCAAGTGCTCCCACCCCATAATTGCCCCCAGCCCCAAAAGTGCCCCCCCAGACCCATACGTGCTCCTATCCCACAAGTGCCCCCCAAGTCTCACGGGGGATGGGGGGTGGCGCCGGCAGCTCCTCCAGTTCCTCCACTGTAGGCAGAGACACTCAAATGACC